TTATTTTCGGATATTACATAAAATTTGATGGTGCTTAATTTCGGGGGGTGCTTAATTTCGGAACTATACGGTACAAATCATTAAAGTTATTTAAATTCATATCTATTTTTTTATTAGAAGTATTATTCTTCGTGATTTCGGTAGAAGCTGATTCTAAGCTTGGGGGGCCTTCGACTGGATTTTCAGAGACAAAGATAAATACCTTGCAGGATGATACATCGTTTCTTGTAGGTCCTGGCCTGACTTCTCTGAATCTCAAATGCATTTTTCTATGTTGTTTACGTACATCATCTGAGAACTTTCTGTACTATTTCTTGACTTCAGCGGGCTCTTTCTTCCAAGCCTCACTTGATAACTTGGAAACATTAGATAAAGATAATCGTATTCCTTTCGCTTTAAATGTTCGGACACAAACTTTCCTATATATCATATATGCGTTTAATGGCTGTTTATACTCGGGTCTATTAGACAAGTACTCTTCAACGTTTATTTCGGGAGGAAAACTCATCTTGAACTCAGCTACTGCCATGGCGCAAGGAATGTAAAAAAAAAAAAAAAAAAAGGACGTCTGCATTTTATAAACTGGTTCAAACAAAAAAAAAACACTTTTATTAACCATATGCGTCTAATACGTTTTTTATTACACTAGAATGAAAGGTAATAATAAATAAAAAAAATGTAAAAAAAAAAAGAAATGGTAAACAAAGAAATATATAAATACTATATATGTATACCGATCAAAGAAAAAATTTGACAGAGGGTATTGGTTTTGATAATAAAATTAGATCCGAATATAGTAACATCTCACATTCCACATTAACTTTCAACTTTTTTTAAAGAATCTTATTCTTTTTTTTTTTTTTTTGCTACTTTTTTGGCTGTTTTTATCACTTTATATTTAACCATAGCGGCCCTATTATTCTTATCGTTTTATTAAATTTTTTGACTAATTTAACGTGTAATTTACCTGTATTCCAAATTTGAACATTTTTTTAGTCCTATGCGACGTTTTTAGACAGAAAAAAACAAATAGATTTTGTAATTTTTTACATAGTACTTCTTAAGATATGTCTATTATGAAAAAGAACACGTTAAAAGCAATTTAACGTAACAATTCTGCGCGTGGTACCTTGTATATCAAAATTGCCGATCATTAATTATTACAGTATTTAGATAAACATGGATAAATTTAACCAAATACAGTATAATTTGTGCACTGATATATAAATAGCATCCCTGTAAAAAAATTCTGTAATTATAATTTTTTGAAAGCGTAAGCAATTTAATAATATAAATATTATAAATGTTATAGTACAACATATGAGTTTAAATTAACGCTACGTATAACTTTTATCATTCGTTATTAATATTAATAATATTAATAATGTAACTAAATTAAATTCATATATGCTAATAAAATTACTACGTATAACACCTGTTATTATCGTTATGCATTACTCCTTTAATAAGCATATCATAATAAAAATTTCAATACATAACAACGAGAAATTCATTGTCTTTATGCATATAAACAAAATAAATTGAATGTGAATTAAATAAATACACCAACTTCTGTAAAAATACGTGATTTTTAAAAAATTTTTCGTAATGTGTGAATCGAATTTATGCATGGGTACCTTACAAAGAGAAATCCTTGTTTATATCCAATACAATTAATTATATATGATGCCAAATTGAGTAATTCATGTCTTTGTTCTTTAAACTTTAATAATAATTTACACTATATATATATATATATATTATATATATTTGTGTTATGTATTTTACGTCCATACACTACGTATATATAATCCCTCGTACATACTTAAAAATAATATATATACGTATATACTTAAAAATACAGTATATATATATATAATATATATATAATATATATATATATGTATATATACTTAGAAATAATATATATATATATAAACTTATATATATACTTAAAAATATATATAATTATATATATAACGATATATATATTTAAAATATATATATATATATTATATATATATATTATACTTAAACGGATATTGGATAGAAATTCGGTTTAAAAATGTCTATTCGAATATCGATATTATCCGGTTTAAAAACCTATCAAACAGACAATATCCATATTTACAGCTATTTTTCATTATTCCTGGGACGGCTAAAAAAATTAGCGATAACCGAGTTGATAAGTTAGCGATTCGGGTCGACGTCGAAACTTATCTATTTGGTCATCGACAATTTCCCCAGAAATAATGAAAATAGCTGTAAAATCGGATATTAATGGTTTTCATAACGATAACCCTGCCGGCTCTAAAATCAAGATTTTTAAGCTTCGAAACCTTTTTTTGAATTAGCAAATAGAAATGCAGAGCAGACCATTTTTTTTTTCATAGTTATTCTGAATGGCTAAAACTTAAAAGAATAAAATATAGTATCAGGTCTAGGTGGCACTTACTTTAAATCAATTGATTATTTATTAAGGTATCAGCTATACTATATTTCATCCTCTCATTTTATGTATACCGTAGTTTTATGAATTTACTAAATCGATTATTTAACTAGCTTGTGTGTTATGAGTTAGACTTTATACAATATCTTAAATTTAGAAATTTTAAAGAATAAACCTTTAGAAAAAGATAAGCACTTAAAACATGATTTTTAAATTAGTCGACAAGCGAACAAGGATTATTTAAATAAATAGCTTCATAATTGAGTGTTATTACGTTAATTCAAAAAGACTTATTAAAAATTCATTGATTGAACTACAGATTTTAAATGGCTACTAGATCAAAATTTAAGCAGCAATTACGTACGTACCAGATTTTTGATAGTAATACTAGGTAGGTTAGGGTTTTTTCAGTTACTCTAATTAGCTATAATTTAGGATGCTCTCAAGCAACTTCCTCAATGTGATTAGCTAGCGATTATTGTGATTAATTGGTATTAATCGAAGAACGACTTGCTAAAAAATCCATTGTACGAAATGTGAATTTTAAATTTTAGCCAATCAGAACAACTCTATGAAAGATGGTCTGCACCTCAGCAGATTTTATTCATTAGTTTATTTGTTCAATTTCCGACAAGGTTGATGGATTTTCGGCAAAATGGCTATAACTATAAGGATCCATTTCAATTAATTTCAATCAAAACGTTGCCAATATCTTTTCAACACCAATCCCATGAGGACAACAATTATCAACGTAAAGGTTTTTTTAGTGAGTTCTATTTCTAATAACATCACTTAAGATTGTATCGTCCTTTTGAGTAGTCATATGTTTGAGCCAAGATCACTCTTTAACTATCACACGTTTCTAATTTTTTGTTTTTTAGAACTACTAGTAACAAACTCCCCTATATTGGATTTGTTTCTCACAAACCAAAATATTAATGCAATTAGATTCGTCTCCAAGGAGAATTCTACGGGAACATTAACAGAAGATGGATTTGGCTTAAATAAATGCTACGGTTCGATGCATAATTTAACCAAAAACCTTCAAAAAAAAAAAAAAGGTTTGATATATTAGCATTATAAGATTGCTATTTCATTTCTGATTTCACAATGAATGCGCTGTCGATATCTCAGGAATGGCAAGCATTTGTTGATGATTTTGGATTTAAATGAGCATTAACATTCATTTAGGCCAAAAATCATCAAAAACGGTTCAGCAATTCTTGAGATACGAGCATTCTATTGTACATGATCATATATATATATATATATTATATATTTTGTAAACCTGATTTAAGCATATTTCGATCCATTGTTACTACCATAACATTCTGCGTCTTACATTTCCCTTATGATCATCGTCATATTTATTTCAACCCCTACATCTTAAACTCTATTAAACATTAATATCTTATCACCCCTGCACCATCGTTCCTCCATGATTATCGTTTTTCCCTTCCTAATTTATACCCTCTATACATATCGATATTACTACTTATATCTATCATACTAGGATACGTATGCTATGGACGCGTACTCATGTTAACACCAAGCATCCAATTATTATCAAGATCCTGCTAGTCCAATGAGAGTGTCATTTAAGGAGTGATATAGGGAATGTTTCAGGCGGAAGCCTTAATTTAGACAAAGGTGAAGGAAGGTCTTGAATGGAATGAATGTTTGTAAATGGCGGATGGAAGTTGACCCAACAAATGTACCGGGAATTCTAAGTTGATAACATGTGTAAAAGCGCAGTGTATCCGCCTTTCTTGTATCTATCTAAATTGATTCATCCTTTATAATAAAGACGTCTGAGTGATTCTTAATTATATCGTACTTCTTGAACTGCATTGATTGTTATTGTATTGCATTGCTTACTTATCCTTTTATTTAATTTCTCACGTTGAATTACACATATGCTTGTTGGGTATCCATCATATTGATTATTATACACACATAGATATTTATTATATATTCTATTTTCGTTTATTATCCTGGCATTCATTGTCTGAAGTCCTCTAAAAAATAGTAACACCGCCTTTGATTATTTTGGTTTTGAATGAATCTTGAAGTTTGTGAGCGAAAAGAACCGCAAAGTCAAATTTAAATAAACGTCTTAATTACATATATTTTGCTCTTATATAATTACTACATATCAGTATATAAACAGTATATGAATTGATAAATAAAAAGAAGATTTTATTTAATTAAGAATAATGAATCTTATCTATAAGATGTTTTCATAACAACTTAATTAACATCTGGCCAAATAATTTCTTCACTACCTTAATCCATTTTATATTCCATTTTATAATTTTCATTTTCATTGTCTTCGATCTATTCAGCTAATTTATTATTCTGGATTATTCAACAGATTCACCTTCTGTTTAACTATTTGTCTAACTCTTTTCAATCGAAAAAGATGTTGGTAGCTTGACAAAAAAAAAAAAAAAATTCTATTGTCATATTTTTCTTATTATTAGTATTCAATCAAATTCTAATCCAGTTGTTTTTTTGCCTATATAGAAGTTTTAGCTTTTATTTTTCAGAAAATTATTCTCAACAATCTCTTTTACAGCCACACATGCTTGAGTTTTTATGCAAGTCACGACTATTTTATTATTACAATCAATAATATTGTGGTTTTTTACGCGTAATCTCATATTTCTCACACTTTTGAAAATTTCTATATAAACCCTTACCCTTCAATATGTTTACACCAATTTTTTGGGCATGTAGGCCTCTACAGTAAATAGGATATCTATATGTTTATTGTTCAGATATTTGCAACTTCGTTAACATCTTTTTGAAAGTTTAATGAAAATAAGGGTTGGACCCGTTCAAAAAAACCTTACTCGGGTTAACCTTCGGTTAAATTTCTTGGTTATCCGGGTTATCCGGGTAAAAAAATAAGACCATGGATAATATGTAACCCATATATGCAATTAATTTAGAGATGTTAATCGGTCTTTTGGGACCGAATCCTAACCGGTCCTTACAAGGACCTGCAGGATCGGTAAGGACTCG